CGTAGAGAAATCACCTACTACCACGCCATTGTATACTGACCAGCTTTTGGAGCGGTTCTGGATACAGGAGGAAGTGGAAAACAAAATGGTTTTATCTGAGGATGACCAACTAGCTGAACAAATTTTCAAAAATACAACCATCCAGTTACCAAATGGTAAATTTCAAGTCAACTTGCCGCTTAAGAATGAATTGGCTTATATTCAATTAGGAGATTCTTTTCAAATAGCAAAGCATCGTTTTTTGTCATTAGAACGTAAACTTCACAAAAACCCTCAACTTTTCGCAGAATATAAAAAATTCATCTATGAATATTTGCAGCTCAATCATGGTCAAATCATACCACTTCAATTAAAAACTGTAAACAACGAACAGAAATATTTTGCACCACATCTTTGTGTCATTCGTGATCAAAGTGTTTCCACCAAGCTCAGAGTTGTGTTCGATTTCTCTTGTCAAACCACATCTAAACTGTCATTAAACGACATTTTGTTAACAGGGCCTCGGGTCCAACCTGAGCTGGTTGATATCCTACTTAGATTTCGCACATTTAATTATGTTTTGACAGCTGATATCCAGAAGATGTACAGGCAAATAGTAATGAACCCTGCACACAATTTTTTGCAAAATATATTATGGCGAAATTCACCAACCGAACCACTCCAATGCATTGAGTTAACATCTGTTAGTTTTGGGCAAAAGAGTGCTCCTTACGTTGCTTGTCGTGTTTTAAACGAAATTGCTTTTCAAAACCCACATCGGGCTCTGGCTCATCAAGCCCTCCTTGAACAAACTTATGTCGACGACATTTTAGCTGGTGCAAATACCATCGATGAAATTAAACAACTAAAAAATGAATTAATTCAATGTTTAAGCCCCCATAGTTTCGAACTACACAAATTTTGTTCAAATGTAAAATTATCAAAATCAGATCAGACTTCCGAAGTAAAAGATCTTAACCTAGAGGATGCTCCTTGCAAGATACTAGGTCTCAAATGGGATCCCAATTCAGATTCCCTTCAAATATCCACTCCTTCATCCCTTCCTACACAGCAACTTACTAAACGCATAATTTTATCAACCATTTCAAGCTGTTTTGATCCGTTAGGGTTGGTCAACCCCTTGCTTGCTCACGGCAAGTTGATCATGCAGCAGCTTTGGTTATTAAAATTAGGATGGGATGAAATCCTCCAAGATCAAAAGGTATTACAAGAATGGAGCGAGTTTGGTAAAAATTTAACTGTTCTGCATGATGTAACGATCCCTAGACAAGTAATGTTAAACAAAGAAGTTTCACGTGTCGAACTTCATGCATTTTGTGACGCTAGTTCCGTCGCCTATGGTTGTAACATTTATGTACGATCAGTTTATTCGGATAATTCGATCCATTGTTCATTGCTCACGTCAAAATCAAGGGTAGCACCCATTAGTAAAATACTTACCATCCCAAAATTAGAACTGTCGTCAATGGTGTTGCTGTCTAGGTTGGTATCTCGAATCATTCAAAATTTGAAAACAAAGATTCATTTTAACTCTGTCAATTTGTGGACAGATTCACACATTGCTCTGTCTTGGGTAAGGGTCAGTTTTCGTCAGCAACCGTGTATCCCAAATCCAAGAACTTACCAACGATTTTCATTGGAGGCATGTAAGATCCGAAAAAAATCCTGCAGATTTGCTGTCTCGAGGACATTTTCAAAAAGACAAGCTTGAGTTCTGGTTCAGTGGGCCACAATTTCTGAAAGAAAATCACACCAATTTTGATCAACTTGATACTTTTAAATTAGTTACAGTTCTCCCAGAATCAAAAAAGACAGTTCTTCAAACTGTACGCGTCACCCCTGACCCCTGGGTCACCATCTTCGATACGTTCAATTCTTTTTCCAAACTTGTCCTACTTTCGCATAAGGTTGTTAAATACGCAGTTGGATTAGGTCGAATCCAAATGCTCCACGAAAGGAAACGCTAGGATCTTGATCTGGGATATATTCGCGAGTGACCTGGTCAATAACCTTACGCCATTTTTCCTTTATTTTTTCTTACTTATTATTTATCAACTTGGTTTTCGTTTTATGAATCTGTCATATGTTTGAAATCATGCGTGGCTTGCGCAACAAACACCTGAGAAACTAAACTTTGTTATTCATACATCGTGTCAGTGCGATAACACTGGCTGGTCCTTCGAGTTTTTCCAAGATATTTTTATCATTGTTATTCATTTAATTTGTCATCATTCAATGTTGTTTTCCTTTGTGTTGCGCGCGCCAGTATGGTTAAATTCTACAATTTCACCAGTAAAAACATCAACAAATTAATATTTTACACCTACTAAATAAATAAACAATTCTCAAATAGTTCGACTGCTTCTTACCCTAATATAATGTGAAGTCATAAAACTATAAATAGCATTTATCTCAGAATACCGAACGTCGAACACCTGTGTTTTTAAGTGCACAGCTGTGCATTGGAACAAAATGAGTGTCCGGCGCATAGTTAACGAAGCACAAATGACGTATTTCATTATGTCATGATGTTTTGATTGGTTGAAACCGAATAGGTGCGTGAACTATGCCCCGGACACTCATTGCGTCCCAACAGCATATATTTGGGTGAGCTCGACGCGAGGAGTACAGTTGTATGTTTGCCATCATTCAGTAGTTGTCTTATTGCCATCGAGTATCGAGTTCAGTTGTCTTTTTGCCATCATCGCTCACAGTTGTCTTTGCCAGGTGCTTCTGCCGATGGCACGTTACTTTCGACAGTTTTACAAGCATTTTAAGAATTTTATTTTCTGGTGAAAGTTATATCTTCTACAATTATTATGGCATAAGAAAATCTACAAACAAATGTTTTCAAGTTGGTAACTAAAAAATCAACTGTATTAGTTAATAAAATTGTGATGAACTAAAATTGTAAATATTTAAAACTGTTTAGTGAAGATAAGTGAATCAACCACTATGTATTTACTTCAGTGAAAATAGTGAATTAAAAACACTTCTTTTTCTACTACCTATGACTCGTTAGTTATTTCTACAAAAGAACCCAATTCTTCTAACACCAGCGACATATGCTACAGAACATTTTTACCAAAGAAATATTCGGAAGTAACACCGGTATTTTTCACATCCATAATATTGGTCCATATTCTTTCTTTGCATCTTTCATGCTTGTTTTCGCAGCGCCAGAATTGAATGGTGTTGTCCTTGTTCGTTTTATCCTTCGTGTATAGGTAGCTCCCAGTAGTACTTTTCGTGACCCCTTTGGCTAAGAAGTTTATTTTTCATCTTGAGTCTCAGTAAATAAAAATCTCACACAGACAAACAAAATTACACACAATGTCTTTACTTCTGAGATGAATTCGGAATATTAAGGAAAGTGAATATCACCGGTCTTTTATAGGATGTAGGTACAAGTAAACAGGTAATTATCAGGTAATCTTATTTTTATTTTGTTTTGAAAAATCTTAAGCCCTTAAGCAGGCAATTATAAGGTAATCTTATTTTAATTTTGCTTTGAAAAATCTTAAGCCCTTAATATTTATTTGCTTTCTAATACTAGGTATTAAAAACCCTAATTGTAGTTAAGACCCTTAATTGATTTTATTGCCACCTTAATTTTGTAATTCCAAACAACTCTGGCCATTAAATTTTAATTTCTTAATCAAGAAGTTTCTTTTTCAGATTCTTAGTTTTAATATTTAATATATTTTTTGCTGTATATGTTGATTTACTTTAGTAATAATAACTTTTTTTCCAGTTTCTTATTTAAAATCTCTTATATATTTTTATTTTATTAATCAAATTCTCCAATCAAATTTTTTTTATAGGTTGTATCTTATTTTGTATTATAATAAATAATTGAATAATATATTATTGTATTCCTTTTCGCCGAGTTGATCGTCGCCGAGTTTACCATCGCCGAGATGACCATCGCCGAGATCACCATCGCCGACTCGGCATCGCCGAGTTGACCGTCGCCGACTTTACATCGCCGAGTTGACCTGCTCCGCTTTTAACAGTAACACGAGACTTTTCTGTTATATGAAAATCGTAAATTATTCTTCGAATGTCCCTCAATTGATATTCAGGGAGATTCGTAGCGGTTGATTTTTTGACGAAGTTTTTCCTAGGTGTGGAAAATGTAATTTTTCCAGTTGTTTCCATTGACTGTTTACCTTCCTTCAAAATTCTTTTAACGGTAGTATAACACCTGTAAAAACGTAATATTATATTAATGTTAAATTTAGTATTTTTTTACATTTATTAAGAAACAAAAATTTTTAGAAACTAGATAAATTTTAAAAATTTAAATATAAAATATTAATTAAAAATAAAATGCATAGATATGTGTGTAAAATACAAAAAAATATGGAAAGTTTAATAAACTATATATGTTTACCTGTTGCTTGTGCAGTTTGAAGTTTGATATCATCTAAAGTAACTCCTTCCTTTTTTGTTGCGTCAAAATATTTAAAAACATTGTATATTACTTCACGGCTTTGTCCATTAATAACAGATCTGCGCTTTTTTTCACCCACAACATTATCAAAAATAAAACCAGTCACTTTAACAAAAAACACAGAAACAAGAAACAATGATCTAGTCGTTACGCTATTGAAGGTTAGCAGCAAGGACAAGGTTGAAATTGTGAACGGGCGTGGCGATTTTTAAGTAAACGAACTTAGCATTTGCGCTGGTTCTTTAGATTTGGCGTTTACTGTACCTATTCGTAACATTTTTTTTTTTAATTAAAACAATATAACATAATGAATGTTTATTAAAATACTTACAACACTTATTGATTATATACTTATAGTCTCTTTTTATTGATTAAGTAGTGGTTTTCTTTACTACTGAACCAATAAAAATTTTTAAATTTCATAATAATCTAAAAATATATAAATTTATAATCAATATGGAAATATAATTGAACATTTTAGTTTAATTAAAAAACTATAATATTAAGTTTAAAAATATTTTACAATTATATTTAAATTTGAAAGTCTACAAGATAAAAAATTATTAAATAGCAAAGTATTATTTTATTGTTCAAAGAGTAAAATTGGGATGTAGAAAAATATTGTGACATTAAAATTTTAAATCGAAATAAAGAAATAGTCACAACGTTCCTGTCATTGTAACCAAATGAATGTAAACTGAACAATTTTATTGGTTATTATTATTATAATAATATTTTATTGTATTTCTTTAAAACCACAAACACATTTTATTAAAAATATATACAGTATAATTCACAAATGATCTTTAAACATATCTGTAAGTTACATGTCATAGTAAACTGTAATAAATGTCTAATAGATTTGGGCGATATTTTACTTGTATAATAATATATCTAATATTTAAAAATATATAGGTAAGCTAATATTCTTTAGGTACATGTTCTTTTATCGACTCCATAAAATTTTTTTATAAAACTGTTTACGAATATTTAATTTGGTAATTATTTACTAAAAAAGCCTCATTTATTTGAATTATGATCATTATAGTAACGATTCAAAGTGTAAATAAAAAATCATTTCGTCAAATTCTAGTTTTTCTCTGAATTTACATTCACATTTCTTTTTCAAGAATTTAAATGTCCGTAAATATTTAAAGATGCTTTGTGAATTAGTGATTAAGTATATTAACATATTAAAAGCTAACAGAAATAATTCTTTTGTAACACTCTCAGCTGTGAACTAAGTGACATACAGAAAACGATTTAAAAAATACATCCACAAAAAAACATGTAAAATCCTTTATCGGAATTATTATTTTTATCGAAATAGTATTTAATTTCCGAAGCCGGAAGATGGGGCAATGAACTTAGCTAATTAATTGAATCAGTTTTTCTGCTATTAAATATATTTGTTTTCAAGAGTGTTCAAAAAACTTTCATAGCTTCTCTTCGGAAATGAAATGCTATCCAAGACAGTAAATATATTGAGGCCCTGGCTAGTCAAACCAATAAATTTTAAACATTTCTCTATAAAAATAAAAATATAGAAATTTGACCAAAATAATTGACCCTCTTAAATACACTGTACAATATTTATCGTAAACTCCGCAACCAAATTCTTTCTTCAAAATTAATTAGGTATTACTTTTTGGCTCTTTAGACGATGAACTATCTGGTAATTCTTTAGTGTCTTCATTGACATCTCCATCAATTCCATAATAGGTTTCAATGTCATCATGATTTCTAATTTCACTTAGCCAGTTTATTACCTGTTCTGTCTTTTCTTTAAAGTTAGTTTCATCGTCCTTTTTTTGCTTCATTCTACGATATTGAAACCAGGATTCTATTTGTTGTTCTGATAACCCTATATTTATTGATAATTTATTTATATCTACTTTAGAGGGGGAGTCAGTTGCATAAAAGGTCTTTTCTAATTCAAGAGTTTGTTCTTCGTTATGAAATCGACTTCTTTTTTGTTGTGGTTCCATGTTAAGATCTGTAAAAATATTGTAAAGAATTTTCAGTCAATAGAAGAAAAACAATTAAAAATGAAAATATTACCAACAGTATATAAAAGATAAGTCAGAGATAAGCGATATGTTTTAAAAGTATTATAAATTAATTTGTTTTGGCCTTTACTTAATAATAATAATAATAAAAAACCTTTATTCGGTTTAGTACCACTTCGGCCGTTCCCATATCGGCCGTTACATAAAAAAGTTGCATTTCGGCCGGTCGCCCTTTTTGGCATATTTGAATTAAGATTATTGTTACATTTCGGCCGGTCAACCTTTTTGGGATATTAAGATTACTTAAATAATATCGGTCGTTTGTTTATATATTGTAAACTTGTTAATTTTAATCCAATGATCCAATAAAAAATCAATAGATAATACACAGTATGACAACATAATTTTATTCAAATTTAGTAATGTACATGAATTTGTTCAACGCATTTTTTGAGTCAGTATTTTTGTCCCTTAAATCATTTAATGTTTTTTTAATTCTAATATCAATATCAACGTATTTTTTTAATCTTTTTGGAGTTGGTATATATAGATTTATTTTTTGTAATTTCATTTTATTTAAAGCAGCCTCCTCTTTCAATACAAATATTAACTCGAAAATGTTTGGATGACTTTTCCCAATTTTTTTATTTAATTTGCTATGCTATCCTTCCACTGCGTTTGTAGTCCGATGTCTGTGCCCCGAACATATCCAAATATTTTGGATAATTGGATTATCTAACCATTGTGAAGTAAAATAATCATTAAATTTAATAACTAGATCATAGAAGTTTCCATTATAATCAGCCATCCCTCCTCGATATTTTCTTCGGGTAAATGAGCCAGAGCAGCACACATTCTAATATGATTTCGTACTTCACTTTGATTACGATTTGATAACACTAAACCTAAATCTTGAACTTTGCGCCATATGGCCTGATTAAAGTGAAAATTGCATCCATCAATGACAGTTTTGGGAAATGCATATCTTATTGCATTTACGGTAGCTACTTCAAAATCCAATTTAAATACTTTCGGTGAAAAATGTTTAAACTTTGAAACGCAATGAAAAAAGTCTTATATAGGTTTTTTTCTGGAATAATAGAAGTACTATCCTCGGTACTTTTTACATATGCATGTATAGTGTACAATTGAAAAATAATAAAGAACAGCTCTTAAATGTTCCGTCTCCAAAAAATATTTCACTTTCATTTAATAAAGATTCACATACGTTACAAAATTTTAATAATTTATCTTCAATACCGTCTTCTATAACTAAAAAGTTTTCAGGTAATTGTGGTGGCAACACAATTTCAGATCTGTGTTTCGGTAATGAAACATTTCCAAATGTTTTTTGCCTAGCACGATAAAGGTTTGATTTTACTGAATTTAACTCAGGAATTTTGGTCACAAACTCCAGTCCTATATTTTTAATGTCTTTGAATTCACTACTTACAATTTGAGGAATAGGTGTAAATTCTTCTCTTGCTCGCTTTTTACACTGAAAATCACACTTTTCAACTTCTCTTTTAGCTATATCCAAAACGCAAGTATGATCTTTTTTTTTCTCCAAAATTTGTTTCTTGTCATTTATTGTAGAAACACGTCCACCACTGTTTCTATTAGAACACCTCCAAGATATATTTCCATTTTTATAAATTTCTTTTATCTGATATCTGTAACCACCATTAATAAGTAGAGGTTTGCCTTTGCTGGTTTCAATAATTTCAATCTCACTGTCCATTTTTAAGAACACCTTTCACTTTCAAATCTTTACTGATACAGTGAAACCTGTGTAAAACGGAATCGCACGGTAGTGCACCGATTTTCCGGCATATACAGGATTCAGCGTTACGCAGGGTAGATAAAAAATTGCACATAGTAGATGTAAAAAAGTGATGATTTTATTAAAAAAAATCTAATATACGTACATTTAATATATAGTTGTTATTGTTACTATGTACCTACATATTTTTATTTATTATTAGAAACAATATAAATTATTATTTATTCCACATTTCTATCAATGTAAGTTGTTTTTTATTCTTTTGTAATACGTAAGATGATTCCATGAATGTCCTTAATTCTAAAATCTTCTTTCTCATCGGTTCGCTCTCTATTCTTTGGGAAAAATCCTCTAACGCTGCAACACTCCTCAAAGCTTCAGAAAATTTTTTTATCCGATCGGATTCTTCAACTTCTGTTCCTGTAGATAAAAATAATAATTTAAAAACAGATCGTTTTGAAAAGCTAATGGGAAAATAATTTTTTCTATCTGTTATTTTTGTGATGGTAACTGAAATCTTCCTATCTTATTTTTATTATGTATTTTAACTTTATTTCTACTTGGCCAAATGCCCAATTAAGATGGAAAGAATAAATAAAAAGTTGTTTATTTTTTTAGAGAATTAGAAAAATTGCTTACCAATTCCAATCCCATCATTATCGTCTGCCACAGTAGTTTCCACGGCAGTTTTTTTTAACATCAGTTCTTCTATGGACTGAAATCCAGCATTTGTTGTAACGGCTTCATCTAATGTGATGTAATCATGAACATTACAACCGGGATTAATTTCAGTAATTAACTCTTCGACTTCTTTTGTACTTTCGTCAATTTCGTCAACATTTTCGATTAGGTCAACGTCTCCATCTTGCTTGATTCCACATGCCGCAAAACATTTTTTAACACAATCAGGTTTAATATTTTTTACTGAATAATCAATCCATCTGATAGCATCCAAAACTGATATTTTTTTAGCCAAATCTCCTGCTGATTGAGAGAATCTCATATTCGCAATAATTGACCGCAGCACTTGTTTTCTGTAATGCATTTTGAAGTTTTGTGTAACTCCATGATCGAGAGGCTGTGTTTGACTTGTGGTGTTTGGTGGTAGAAAACACAATTTTATATTGGATAGTATTATTTTGGGGTGACACGTTGCATTATCCAAAAATAGAAGGATGTGTCGATTTTCAAATTTCATTTTTTGATTTAAAATTTTTAGCCACTGTTCCATAAGAACTGATGTCATCCATGCTTTTTTATTTGCTCGCCAATAAACTGGTAGCTGAGGCACATTGGTATTGTTAAAACATCGCGGTCTGAGGGATTTTCCAATAACTAGAGGTTTTTCTATTTTTCCGTCAGCAAAGGCGCAAAACAAAACGGTTAACCTTTCTTTAGATTGTTTGCCTCCTTGACATTTTTCACCTTTAAAGCACATTGTCTTGTCCGGCAGCGCTCTATAAAAAAGGCCAGTTTCGTCAAAATTAGCAATGTCTTTTAGGGTATATCCTTTAATTAAATCTGTAATGTGCGATGTCCATTCAGTCACAGATTCCATGTCGACGTCCTTAGCTTCACCGCAGATCTGATTAAATCTTATGTTATGTCGTGTTCGAAAACTTTCCAGCCATCCATTCGAAGCTTTAAAATCTACTTTTCCAAAATGGTTTGCAATTTCTCTTGCTTTTTCTTGAATAATTGTTCCAGATACAGGAAGATTGCGAGACCTTGCATCCATAAACCATTCCAAAACTGTTGAATTTACGTCGTCGTGATGTGATTCCTTTGGCTTTCTCTTAATATCGCCATTACCACCACGCATCCACTCTTCTTTAATTTTTTCCTTGTTTTTCAAAATTTCATACACTTGCGTTTTTCCGCACTTAAATTGAATAACCAATTGCTTTGGAGTAAGTTTTTTTTGGTCACTACATTTAATTAAGTCCATTTTAGATTTTAGCGATAATGTATTCGTTTTTCGGTTTGCCATTTTGAAATGTTTGCACTTTCACGGATAAACTCAAACTGCCGTACCTACACAATACTGGTTTATTTGTGTATTTACTGCTTTTGTACCTAAATTTCTGTGATAATGGTTCTAAGTATTGAAAATAGTTCGCCCTTATTATGGGGCTTTCCGAAATCATAAACTAATTATGTAAACATCTATAAATTCTTTTATACCTGCAAAGCAATAACATAAGTAGGTTCTGGCTTAACAGATTAGGGAAATTCCGTGTTCGCGTTAGACAGGGTTCCGGCTTATAAGCAATTTTTACATTACAATATGTAGGTAATCGCCAAAATTTCCGTCATACACAGGATTCCGTGTTACACAGGTTCCGGCTTGCTCAGGTTTCACTGTGATAAAAACAAATATTTATTATTTACGAAAAGAACATAAAAGGACATTTCCAAATGGCAGGGTAACTAATCCTTTTTTATGAGTATTTATTTAATACTCATGTCTATTATTTTTTGAACATAATTTGGTATTTCTAGTAATAATTATGCATTACCAAGTAATTACTGATAATAAAGTTCAGGTACAAATTGGTTTTCTATTAGAGATAATCACCCTTTAAAATGCCCTTAACACTTCGTCTACAATTATTTCTTAAATTAAACGACTTGAATGAGAGTTTTTGGAAATACATATCTTATTGCGTTTATTGTAGCTACTTCAAAATCCAATTTAGGTAAATACTTTCGGAGAAAAAATTTTAAACTTTGAAACCAGCAAGTACAAGTCTTATAGGTTTTCTTTTCCTTATTCGGCAAAAGAGCAAAAATGACCGGAATAATAGAAGGACTATCCTCGGTACTTTTTACAATTAAAAAAATAATAAAGAACAGCCCTTAAATGCTCAGTCTCCAAAAAATACTTCACATATTTTAATAAAGATTCATAAAATAATAAAGAACAGCTCTTAAATTCTCCGTCTCCAAAAAATACTTCACATATTTTAATAAAGATTCACATACGTTCATAAATATTAACATTTCGTCTTCAACACCGTCTTCTATAACTAAAAAGTTGTCCGCTAATTGTGGTGGCAACACAATTTCAGATCTGTTTCGGTAATGAAACATTTCCAAATATTTTTTGTCTTAAATTGAACGACTTGAATATTTTTTTATAATTAACTCTGCTCCCAAAATTGCCAAACCAAAGCGTAATTGCCATCCTGTACTGTACATTGA